TTTCTGAAACACCCCTACCTAATGTGTTTCCTGTTTTTAGTTATTTTGTTCCACGCTGTCAAGGTTGGGTTCTTTGGGAAGCAGACTCTGTGAAGGTTGGTGGGCAGAGTGTTTATTAGAGAGTACCCCTGGGACTAGCACTCTGGAGGGGACAGGAAGGAAAAAGGAGTGGGTACAGGGAGAATTTAAATCTGTAATGCAGGCTGATGACAGCCTCAGCTAATCCCTCGGGAGCTTCGTTGTCTGGCACTGGCCTGAAATGGATGTGTATGTTCTGGGAAAAGCTCAGCCTTGGCCACAGGACTCTGCAGCTGAGGTGATCTTCATGTATGGGGGAGGGCAGGGCAGGTGGGGGGAACAACAGGAGGGGAGAGGAGCCAGCAGCTAAAGGTTTTCTGCCGTTTTGCTGACAGCTCTTCCAACAGTTGGGGCAAAACATCCTCCTTTGAAGGGGGAACTAGGTACGGCATATTGCTATGTTCACTACAAATGTATTCATTTCCAGCCCTTTAAAAAAAAAGTTCAGAGTACTTAAAAACAAAGACCAAAAAGTATACAAAAGTATTGTGCTATAGAATGGGATGAGATTATAAAAAAGGAGACCATAGTATGGTTAACATGGGTTAATGTAGCTGCTGTGATTGAAAATCAAATGTGGCTGAGCTCCCTGGTAGCCAAAGCAGTAACTTTCCATTCTGACAACTGGTTCCTTATGGTAGAAAAATTTCTTTGGATTAAATTATAAGAGAAATTTTTCACATGGATATCTATTTTGTTGAAATAACAGATGGTTCTCAACAGGTTAATAGTAAATGCTAACACAGGTTTAATTTGTTCCTAGTAAGGATCTTGAGTGAATATAGAAGGCATAATTTAAAAACAAAGTTTAGTGACGCTCCTTCCACAGTGAAAGGGAGGCAGATATATAGATTTGCAGTGTGTAATGAATCCATGCTGAAAACTGTTCCTTTTCTTTAAACTGTTTTCTTTCTCCAGGCAAAATTATACCTGGCCCAGTGGCTCCCAGGGACTGTTCTCTCCAAAGACCTTGCTAACTCCCTACTGATTGGCCCCAGTGAGGCCCTCCAGTTGGGGAGAGCAGGATTGCTTCACTGAGGTCAAGGATGGCACTGAAAGAAGGGAAGGGGTAACTGAGACCAGGACAGACCCACTTTTCCCTCTCTCTCCCTTTCTTCGAGGAAGCATCCCTGATGCCACCTCCAAAGCATTAGGATAGCAGGGCTGAATCAAGACCAAGTGCCCGCCTCAGGAGTGGGTACAGAAGTGCCAACATCCCATGCTGATTTGGTGACAAGGGCTCTGGGAGCAGAGAAGGGCCTTACCTAGATTTGGTGGTAGCTGTGGGGAGAGAGAGAAAATTGAGAGATACTATGTATGTCTGATGATATGCCCTTCCAACTATGAGGTGAATTCTTATTTTCCAGTTAGGTCCCTCCAAGGTGTTTTATGGTTGTTTTTTTTTTTTTTTTGCAACTAAAATGTTAACATTAGAGATGCATTATTAAAATGTCCAGGTGTTTGTTCAGTGACATACTTTAAATCACATGTAAAAAATTTATTCATTAATCTTGACTTCTCACACTCACATTTCCAGTAATAAATTTAACTCTGCATGAATCTGATTTCTATATATTTTTCAACATGAGAGCCACTTTTTGAGCTATCCAATTTAATTTCTCAAAGCACATCACCTTTACTGCCTTCCAAGTTTCAAAGACCACTTTTGAAAAGTCAACTTTTACATATAAAATGAGCTTTGAAAAATGTCTTCCCTCCGTGACTTCTACCTAATCAGGATGCAGAGCCTTTCCATCACCCCCATCCAGCAACTACCAATTTACTTTCTGTCATTACAGGTGAGTTTTGCCTATTCTAGAATTTCATGTTTATGGAATCATAGAATATGTACTCTCAAGTCTGTGTTCAGTGTGATGTTTTTGAGATTCATCCATTTTATTGTAGAAAGATGATACATGCTATTATTGAGAATTTTAATCTATCATAATTACTTTTTAGTATAATATTAAAACAAGTTTTTCCCCATAGATATATATGAACAGTCTTCACAATAATTTCTTATTGTATCATTTTAAACATTTAGTGGAGAATCTCAAATATATGTTGTTTTATGCTGAGGACTGAACCCAGGGCCTCATGCCTGTTAGGCAGGAGCTCTGCCACTGAGCGACATCCTCAAACCTCACTTCAGCAATTAAGAACTTATGACCACTTGGTTAATGCCAGCTCTACCCCCTAAATCCCTCCCATGCTGTTTTGAACAGTTACCAATTCTATCATGTTATCCATAAATATTTCAGTATTTTTCTAAAATACCACACACATATACACACGTATGGCATAATTACCAAGCCTAAAAAAAAAGTCATTAGTGATCTTTATGAGACTTCTTTACATGGAATACTTGAGATTGTGAGAAATAATTACTAAGCCTGTGTTAAATTTCTTTGCCTCTTTGTTTACCAATTTTGTCAGGGGACTACTCATAAACATCCAAAACTAGCTTGACTGAGGTCATGTTAGGGTAATGTTTTCTCCAAAAAGTGCTGTTTTGGTTCAAAACAAGTTGAAAGTATCTCATTATACGATACGAGGGAATTTGTAAGGGCTGAAATGTAAGTCAACTGTTTTCTTAGAAGAAAACTTTAAAACAATTTCTTTCCTTCCCTTCAGGGGAAATGTCTATATTCAGTAAATGTGGTATTTAGGAAGTGATTTCAAAGTTGGTAATTTCGTGGATGTGAGAAAAAGAGAAAGGGTTGGTTGCAGTGTAAGATGGGGCTCTCTGGTTCCCAGGTTGGAGATAGTGTGCATGTGGAACCTTTCACTGAGACAGGAAACCCAGGTCCTATGGGCTTGGAGTGATAGATACTGAGCTCCCTTCCAGAGGTGCCTGAGGACATCCCCTGCAGAGGTAGGGTTGGCATGTGCAAAGTTCAGGAGAGGGGTCTCCTTCAGTGTGACTGTAATTAGCTACCCAAGTAAGATGAGAACCTTGGCACCTATGACCTGATACTGGAGGTGACTCAGCAACAGCCTGACCGGGATAGGAGTGAACCAGGAGTGGGTGAATCATTAAAATGGAATGGCCATATAGTGTATTATTCTTTTCACATGAAAAAAGTTTATAGAGACATCAGTGGAACCAAGTACGGGAATGCAGATGAACTGTATGTGGGCATTACAGACCTTACTTGGGGGGATGAGAATATCCTAAACCTGATTTGTGGTGATGGATACTCTAGCCAGTAGTTACTAAAAACCACTGTATCCTTGGAATGCTGGATTTATGATAGGTGAAATATACTTCAGTGTTAGTGCTAAAATTAAAAAAAAAAAAGAGTGGTCAACAGCATCCAATGCTACAGAGCTTAAGCAAGAGGCAGTGATGGGCCCATTTATTGGTTTGATCATTTAGTCACTGGTAACTGTGGTCAAAGTACAGGGGGGCAATGGGGCAGGAGCTAGTTGCAGTGGGTGGGGAAAGACTTGGTGGTATGAATGACTCATGGCAGGTGCTTGTTTGTGAAATGGAGAGGAAGAAGAGGTGGTGGCTGAAAAAATAGCTGCTTGTAAAGTTTTCATTTTTTAATCTGACAGAGGTCTGAGGTAGACCTTGGCTTTTGGCAGGAAGAATGGACAGACTTGTTGATCAGATGTGGAGAGGGGAGCTGTTTGGCTTGAGTAGCATGTGGAAACCAACGCCTTCTGTTCATAACTGGATTCAGGCACTACAGAAAGGTCCAATAGGAGTTTCTCAGACCCTGCCCATTTGGCTGGCCTCTGCTCTTGAACATGGCTGGAATTAAGACCTAGTGGATGATTAGGCAAGGGGGTAGGTTAACTCCTGCTTCCAGGTTCAAGTGTCCTTCAAGGACCTTTACATCTGTCCCTCCCCTCTATTTGTGCAGCTCTTCTTTTATCCTCCGTGGTTAGGTCAGCTTCCTAACAAAGCTTTTTGCTTTGCTCTCCCAGGCCTACCAAATCTGAGGGCCACTTACTTACCACATAGCCACAAGTCACAGTGTGTCACTTGGATACCTGAAAAGCCTCTGTTGCTATTCCTTATGTTCCATGGTCTGGCTCTACCTCAACACCACAAGAAAATTTAAAACCTGGTTGCAATCTCTTGCTCCAAAGCAATAATGGCTACATAACTCTCTTCATTCCCTGGGGTTGTGCTGTTTTTTATGCTGGTCAATGAAATATAGCCTGTCAACGACCCCCAGAATTCTCTACTGTGGGCCAACCATCAGCAAGTATTGAGAAAATCAAGGAAATGGCTCTGAATGATCCCTGAATGTATCTGGTCCTGTCAACAAGCTAGAGGGCCCAGGGTCCTTTCACTCAGTAACTGCTTCTGACCTTCCTGCTCCCTTTGACCTGAAGACCTCACCACTTAACTAACCTAGAATGATGGAAAGATTTTGGTAGTGACTGTGGCCAGCTAGGATACCCAGAGGACAGGGAACTGATCCCAGATCACTCCATCTTTCAACCAATCAATCAGTGCAGGAGAAGTCTCCTTTCTACCTGGGAGGGGGCTTCTGGGATCGTGTGTTCTAATTTACTCACTACTCTTAATTCTTTCCATCCTGACTAGAGGCTTAGCCACATAAGCAAACCTAAGAAGTGACCTTCTGGCCAGTCACATGCATGGAAAGCTTGCCAAAAATCCACCTCCCAAATAAATACACTTGATTCTGTCTTGTTAAATGATATTACCCACACTGGGTTTCAGATCTATGTGGGTTTCTGTATCCTCTTATTTTTGGGGGCCTGTTTTGGCTAGGGATGTGGAATTTGGGTCCACTTTAGTCCACACCCAATACAGTAGGACAGATGTACCCTTTCATCTTCTTCCTACTCTTGCTGTCCTGAGCTGTCAGACCACATCCCACACTAAATTCCAGCCCCAAAGCCTGGGCCCTCATTAACAAAGAGGCGGACACTTAAGTTTTCATTAAGTTGTAGGAATTTATTTTAAATAACCTACAGTTGATTAAAAGGGAATTCATGATAAAAATAGAAGATACTTGAGGAAAGATGTGGGAAATGGACTCTGCACGCACACTAAACTAACAATGCCTCTAAAACTAATGATTATAGCAAAAAAAGTCTTCACATTAAAATTCTGCTTTTTATGGGTTTTTCTCCATTTTTTACACAATTACAAAAGAAAAAATAAAAGCCCTAAAATCTTGATTATTTTCTCTTTTTTTTTTTTTTGGACCAAATACTCATTTTCCTCTAAATTTTCTGACCTGTGGAACTTCTTATACCATAGAATCTCTCAAGTGAAAGACTGGGTTTTAAAAAGAAGTAGATAAGTATCTTAAAGGGTACAAAGAATGCTCAGAACAAAGGATGATGGGAAAATGGTTTCAGTCACTGATTATTTCATTATCCTTAGACTCACTCGCCCTTCATCCCTCCCCAACCCCAATCTACACGATCTTTAAGATCAAGAAAAAGGTTTAAATATTTTAAAATAATTAAAAAGAAATAAAAATTCACATTTAAAAAGGAACACTCAAGTCAGGAAATATTTTCCCATCATGCTTTTCTGTGAACAGGTGTCTGAACCAAAACACTGCCATGTCACGACTGCTTCAAGTTTAATGAAAACTGATTCCCATGACAATAGAGTAACAGGTGCGCTGGGTTTTTGTTCTACTTAATTTTAAATTCCTGAAATGGGGGAGAAAGGAGGGAGTTTAGGAATTCGTTTCTATTAAAATATAGAAGTTATTGCAAAACCCTAACTGTAAAAACGCACCAATATAATCGGACTTCGCATACAGTAGCTAAGAGATCCAAATGCTTCAGTAAAACTGAATTTGCCTGGCAGAATGCTGACAAATTCCCATCCACTTGCCCTCTTGAAAATAAAAACAAAATTCAAAACAAATCATACAGCTAGAATTTTGATATCTGAAATATTTTTAAATAAGTTGTCCATAGGACAACTGGCTCAGCTCTCCCTTATAATAGCTCCAGGTTTATCTTTTTGCAAAGATGTTGGTTTGTTAAGACTTGCTGCCTTTCTTCCTCAGGTATGAAGGCAAGCAAGGCTCACAGTTTATCCATCTTCCCCAAACCACACTGCTCTTTTTCACAGAACCCTGCCCCTTGAGACTGGCTAGAACTCGTAGTCCTCATCAGCCATGTCGATGGCCCACGCAAACTTCTCCCGCTGGGTTTTGTTGTAAATTTTCTCGATCGGGACCCCCCACTTCTTGCACCTGCAAACAAGGGAGACAGGCAGTTAGTGTGACTCAGCAATGTCCCAGGACCAGAGGCCTGGGGTTGGGATGTGCCATCTTCTTCATATTTGTCTGGTGAGGATGTGAATTAATGTTGTACCATGTATGTTCCAAGGGGCTTAATGTTATCAATTCATTTAGTCATGACATTGATCTCTGAAGTAGGTGCTACTACGGATTAGACAAAAGAAAATGGTACAGATGGGGAAAAAAAAAAAGGGGGGGGGGTGTTAAGTAATTATGTTACATAATAAGTGATGGGCCTGAAAATTTAACCCAAGCAGTTTGGCTTCAGAACCATACTGCCTCTCAAGAGTTAAGTCCAACCCCTGGAGTACAGACTGGGGTGGAAAAGCAGTACCACAGGGGGTGATACTGCCACTTATGCTCAGAATTTAACAACTCAACCTAATTAAACATCTCCAAAAAATAAGTGTACTTATTTTGGACCTTATTCTATGAGAGAATGAAATGGCATTTATGTCCCTTTGTTAAAAGACTCCTCTACCTCTTTGTATAGGTTGCTCTGATCCATACTATTTTTGCTCTCTCATTCTACTTTTCTTCCTTCACTTGCAAAAATTTCACTGAAAAGTTCTGTTTAAGTGTAGATGAATGGACTCTTCCAAATGTCCTTCAGTAAGGGCTAAGAGTTTCTACTTCTGACCTAAAGTTCCAGAAAGAGGAGGGGGAGAGAGAGAGAGAGAGAGAGAGAGACTGCATCTACCTCTTTAAAACAACATAAACACACTTGAGGATAGTAGGATTGACTCCTTAAGGAGTATCTATCCATCAAGGACATTCCACTGCACTTGTAGACTGGCTGAGCAATTACAGCCCCAAGTACGTAGCAGAAGCCAGAGGTTTCCAAGGAGGACAAGAAGTGTGCAGCTTAGCTCTAAGAATCCCCCTTAGCCTTTTTCCAGCCAAAACCAGGATCTGTAAAAAGGCTCAGTGCTTACCAAGCCACTGAGATTCTAGGGTCCAAATAATTGAGTTTGGAGGTTCCCAAGGCAATTTGTTTATTCTCCTCCCGGTCTGTGGCCTGAACTTCCAACTTCATCAACTGCTCTTCCAGTCTCTGTACAGCCTTCTTCTTTGACTCTACTACCCTGTAATAATAGCAGAGTCATCAACACCAAGCCTAGCCTCTGACAATAGAACACTGCAACTCTACCCTGCCACTTACAAACAGTAAAACCATAAAAGGGCCACAGAGAGATTTCCAAGATACCGGTCAGAAATCCTAGAAAACAAGTCAGGTGTGGTGGTGCACACCTGTAATCCCATCACTCCAGAGGTTAAAGCAGGAGGGTTGAGGCCAGCCTGGCCTACACAGTGAGACCCTATCTAAAGAAAATAAAAGAAAAACAAAAATACACCCTAGAACAGCTAGACACCAGGGCCTCAGTGATGCTGCCAACTGTTTTCTCAATCAACCGGACTTTGCACAATATGAGGTACATACTTCTTGGTCTTTGCATCCTTCATGACTTTGGCATCAGCCTTTGCACTTTTCAGGTCTCTTCGAGCATCTGCTAACTGATCCTTTTTGGCATCAATCTAGATGAGGAAAAACAGCAGTAAAGTTAGCAGCAAAATGAGCCAGATTAAAAAAGGATCCATCAAAGGTGAAACCTGGGAGTTATCTTCACTAGACTATTTCCATAGTGGTTTCTCAGGTAAAAACACGGGTGGTATGATGGAGGCAGAAGGTCACAGTGACTCCTGAATTCAACTCTTTGCTCATTTATGTTCTTCAGCAATCCCTCAAAAAATGAAGTTCTATAAGGGCAGTAACTTGGAAATCTAGATGCTAATCTTTGAAGCAGAGAACACTCTGGCTTTAGACAGAGTCCAAATGACAGCTGTTCACCAAATGGATCAGGTTTTAGCCTTCATTCCAAGAATAATGTAGAAGTTCTTAAGGAAGTTGAGGTTAGACACATGCATCTACCGAGCAAACTCAACTCACATTCTGCCAGCAATCTGGAAAGGAGTTGCCAGCTTAAGGGAAAAAAAAAAAAAAGGATGCACTGAAGAGAATCAGTGAGAAACTATTAAAAAAACAAAAAAACAAAAAAAAAGGCTCAGCTAACCTGTCTCAAATTAAAACAATGTCATGACCTGGCTTTGGCTTTCTGTTTTAAGTCTGAGATGAGATGGAAATTTATTCTCTCAAAAGCAGAGATGTGAAAACATTTTTAGCTACAGAGGTCTTCTTCCCTAAAGGAAACCTTATGGAATCTGTATTCTAACAGAAGAGACAGGCAGTCTTCTCCTTCCTTGCTTATTAGAGCCCTTGAAGCACCTCTGGAAAATCTAAGCTCCTCTTAGAATGCTGCTTAGGGGCAGCAGCAGGTAATGCCATTGGGCTAGAGCTCAATCCAGTGGGCTTGTGCTGCTGGGGACAGGAGAACCCCATTCCTGTGATCACCCTGCTGACCTGCAAGGTCAAGAAGATCCTAGAGTACATACATGCTTGATGCACACACACTGGGCTGTTGTTCACTAAAGCCTAGAATTTTTTTAGATACACACACAAATACACGGAGCCCAATATTAGAAACAGAGGCTGCCATTGTGAAAGAATCATTAAATATGTTTTACTATGAGTGGCTTACTTCCAACATCTATGTTATTCACAGTCAAGTTGAAGGAACTAATTCTATACACAAAAGCATCACAGACGCCACTAGCTAGATTCTTCTTAGGCTAGAAATGCAGCAAACCGCAATTTTTTAACCATTTCTGTCAGTGCTAAATTGGCAGATTATGTCAAGTTCTCTCAAAGTATCAAAGGTTCCATTGATTCACTTGGCAAATGGGCGTGTGTTTGCTTTGTGGGCATATAGCAGAGGGTTCCTGGTCTTGGAGGGCTCGTCTGGCAGGCAGCCTGAGCTGTTCAAACAGTGGTTCCAGAGTGAGAGCAACACATGACCTCCTCATGTTCCAGGGAGAGTCTCCTGAATTGGGTAAACAGCACCAGAATATTCATGCTTTGATTTCTGGCTTGGAACAATAACATGAGGAGTGCAAGTAACACCAGATAACCTCCATTTAACAGCAAGGCAGCAGAGGGTAACTGCTAGAACAGGCAGTCTGTGGGGTTGCCAACCCTGCAGTGCAGGGATTCAAGAAGTCTGTGGATGTATGTTTACTCACTGTGGATACAGACATCCCTTCAGAAAAGCCAGAGGGCATCTGTAGCAGAAACTCTATATTGTAGTGTGGTTTTGGTCCCACATGTAGGTATTCTCTCTTTCTCTGTCCCTTCCCCCTTCCCTCCCTCCCTCCCTCCCTCTCTCTCTGTCCCTCCCTCCTTCTCTCCTCTCTCTCTCTCTCAACTTAAGGTCTACTTGAGCCACACCTCTAGGCCTCCACAGCAGTTCTTTTTTTGTTTGTATTTTTCTGGTGAGACTCAGGTTTTGAACTCAGGAATTTACAGTTGCAAAGCAAGTACTCCATTACTTGAGCCACACCTCCAGTCCACTTTGCACTGATTTTTTTGGAGATAAGGGTCTTGCAAACTATTTGCCTGGCCTCGAACTATGATTCTCCTGATCTCAACCTCCTAGGTAGTTAGGATTACAGGTGTAAGCCACCAGCACCCGGCACCTCACCGGTTTTTAAACCCCAGTTGCCAAAGTACAGAATTTCACAAACTTGTATGGGGAAGAAAAAAAAATTACATTTGTATTTTCATTAATTTTTAGTTGACATTTAGTATTTCTTCTTCAATTATGAATGTGTGGAACAAATATACGGAGTATCTATAACTATCACCAATAGATATCAGATATTTTCATACATTTCAGTTCTAGAACTCTTGAAATATCATTTATATTACTATCTTGAAATTTAGAGTAATTATTAGAACTACCTCAAGATGTTACTAAGGAAGCACAATAATTCCTATACCACAATTTTTTAAAATGTATCTTAACTTTATCGACATAATTGGTTTCTTTTGTAACCCTATTTATCTGTTCTACAGTGAAATACTTGCAGATTCTCATTATGGATGAGAAATTCAGATGGATTAGTTATGTAGTTATTGCTAAGACAGAAATGCTTATCAGCAAGCAGACTCAGAGGGAGGAGAGTTACAATCAAAGCAGAACAGCACCAACTTGTTTGCACATCAGTCTTTCCCTCTAGGGCACAATTGTATCTGGCACACAGCCAATAATCAACAGATGTTTGATGAACTACATGAAATGATTCATGTAGAATGTGTAAAAATAAAAACAGTGCTAGGGTAAGTGGGAACTTAAATATCATTGTTTTATTATTTTAATTTCAAGCTAATTTGGAAGTTGTTCCCCTCCCTCCTAAGCATTGGGCCTTGTGCATGCTACACACAGACAGGCTCCACCACTGAGATACACCCTAGATACGGTAGAAATGTCCTATTTCTGGGTGTGGTAGTAAGACTTTTTTTTTTTTTTTTAAAGCGTTTATTTATTTATTATTTATTTTTGTGGTGTTTGGAACAGAATCCAGGGCCTTGTGCATGCCAGGCAAGTGTTCTACCCCTGAGCTACACCCATGACCCAGATTCTCTTATCCACTTTCCTTGTGTACAGTCAGGACAATTAATAAGAATTTAAAGGGTGAACCAAAGTTAGCATTTCAAAATAGAAGGTGATCATTACATAACTTCTGTCCACAGCACAGAAACTTGTGGAACGGTAGACAGCCTGATAGTCATAGATAGTATTATACCATCTCCATTTGTTTACCTTTAGCATGGACCTATCTTCCAGAACAGACCCAGAGTGGTCTGCTGTATAACCTGGGCCCAGAAGGCCACATTTCAAAAGCCTCTCAGGTTCAGACGATCTGCCCACAGCAGAAATGATTCCCTTCATTTTGCTACCCCATCAGCCCAACACAAGATACCTTAGACTGCAAATTCATCATAGACTTCTCAAAAGTTTTTGGTGGTGCCCTCTGATGGTTACAAAGAATTGCAACAGCTCGATTGGCACGGTTATAAGAAAGAATCTTTGCTGGAATGTTTTCATCCGCTGTAAAGAAACAAGATAGTAAGAGAGTCAGTTTGTATACCAAGGTACATGAAGTATCTTCCTCAGGGCTTTGTCTCCATTACATTACTGGCTTTTATCTCAATTCAAGTTTCTTCCAAGGTACAGGGTCAAAATTTGAGAGTCAGTGGTCATAAGAAAATGACACCTGGGCACCAGTAGCTCATGCCTATAATCCTAGGTACTTGGAAGGCTGAAATGTGGAGGATCACAGTTCTAGGGTAGCCCTCATTTAAAAAAAAAAAAAAAAGTTTGTGAGAAGCTATCTCAATGGAAAAAGAGCTAGGCATGGTGGCACACTCCTATCATCCTAGTGAGTAGGAACCTGGGAAGCATAAAATAGGAGGATTATAGTCCAGGCTGGCCTAGGCAGAAAGTAAGACTCTATCTCCAAAATAAACAGAGCAAAAAGGGTTGAAGGTATTTCAACTTGCCTAGCAAGTACAAACCCCAGTACTGCCAAAAAAGAAAATTACAGCAGGAAGTTTCTGTGTAAGCCAATTTCCATCACAAGAGGAATTATGGGTCTCTATTAGATCTATCTATCTATCTATCTAATCTATCTATCTATCTAATCTATCTATTTGAGACCAGGTCTCACTACATGGTAGCCCAGGCTGGTCCTAAATTCCTGAGCTCAAACAGTCCTCTTGCCTCAGCCTCCTGAGTACTTTGAAATGTATGAGTGCCACTGCAGTTTTGAACTCAAGTTTTCTACTTGCAAAGTAGGTGCTCCACTGCTTGAGCCACGCCCCCCAGTCCATTTTGCGCTGGTTATTTTGGAGATAGGGTTTCTGGAACTATTTGCTTGGGCTGGACTAGAACCAATCTCAGCCTCCCAAGCAGCTAGGATTAAAGGCATGAGCTACTGGTGCTGATGTCTTTTAATATTATAGTGAAATATACACCTTTCTTTTACCCAGGAAGTCTGGCCAAGGACTCTTCTGCTCACCTCATTCCCTACTTCCCACCTACATGCCCAATGTACCCTAAAGAAACTGTGGAATTGGGGCTGTGCTTGGTGGCACATGCAGGCAATTCCAGTTACTTTGGAGGCAGAGACAGTTACTGAGACCCTCTATCAAAAATAAAAATAAAAATAAAAACAAAAGGGTTGGAGACATGGCTCAAATGGCAGAGTGCTTTGAGGGCCTGGGTTCAATACCTAGTGTGCGTGCACATACACACACACACCACAAAGAAAAAAAAAAGTAGAACTGGGAGAAGTCTGTAGAGGAGGGGAGAGATGAGAGGACCTTAAGTTTTACATTTTTGAGCTACAAGGCAATATATTATTTAAAAAGAAAAATTATGAATGTCATCCAAAGAATTTTGTAGCATTCTTTATCCCACCTTAAAGTACCAACCCTCATCATACCCGTCTCTGGCTCTTCTAGCTCGTAGTCTATTGACAAATTTACACAGGACAGTGGAAATTCTGTAGTAGTAACTTGGCCCCAGGTCTCTGTGTGTTAAAGGCAGAAACTGTAGGGAAAGGATTTGTTGCTGTATTTTTCTGGTAACCATGACAACTCTCTCCAATTTAACAGAATATCACAGCGCTATGTTTTCACCTTGTGAACTTTTAAATAACATATATAAAACAAATGCAGACATTTTTCAGAGCAGATGGAAAGCTCCTGTCAGCATTCTATGAAATTAATTTAAAAACTGGGGTAAGAGTGGGAGAAACAGCGCTGATCCTATGTTTATACAACTAAGTCTTAGCTCTCTACTAGATGTCTGAAGCCGAAGTTTCTGGTCACAATGGCAAGGACATTGGCATCATTAGCAGATACTTACGAGCTGTCAGTTCTTTTAGCTGCTGCTGTAGCGTGATAGAGGCATTGTATGTGCGGAACACCTTGGCTGTCAAGCCTTCCATGAGATCCTGAAGATGCTTATTTAGAATACCAGTCTGGAGGAGACAAGGCAACAGAGAAAATGTTGTGACTGAAGGTTTAAAAGCCATACTACCTTATCCTCTGGCATGTCTTGGGAGTCATTATGCCAGTACAGTCACAATCTTGTCAAGTTTATTGCTCTTCAAGTGAGAAGTTGGGAAAATAACTCCAGATTATAGGAGTACATGAGGATTCCATATAAAGCATTTCAATCTTAAGCAGGTTAATAAAGCAGATTTGTCCTTCCCTATTAAGATCTTCTCTGGTAAGAAATCCTGGGTCTCTAGCAGAGGTGGTGGGGCACTGAGTCAAGGAAAGGCTCTACAGGGAACAGGGGAGGATAAAAGGCAGGGCTCTCGTACTCCCTGTCTCAGGACTTTGGCAGTATTCTGCAGTTGGGAGGTGTCTTTTCCAGGCCACAGCTTCTCTGTGTGCTTCAAGGGAGGGCCTGGACTCCCTGAAGCCCAGTGCACTGTATCCACTCACATTGAGTCTATCAAAGAGATCATCCTCAGGCTGCTTGTTCTCCATAAATAGTTGCAAGTTCTTAAAAACCTAGAAGAAGCAAGTGAAATCTAATTAATACTCTTTTTAAAACCTTTCAAGCTCAAAAAAACTTACAAAAAATAAGAAAGTCACAAGGACCACCCATTCATCCTTTTCCCAGATTCTCACTATGTGTACTTATGTATATATATACCTTTTGAGCCATTTTATTATAGACCTTTGCTCCTAGAGATTTCAGTATTTCCTAAGAATATACTCCATATAGTCACACAGTACTTACCAGCTACATAAATTTACATTGATATGATGTTATCTAAAGGGCTGAATCGCTAGTTTCCTGTACTCTACAGGGCTGTTTCAAGATCAAACCTTTGGGAAAGATTAGGTTGGGACTATGAAGGTGCAGCACCCTCTATCATGCTGGACTCAAGAGATCTGGGGGCTAAAGGATTACTGTTTTATTTAGTCAGAAATTGGGTAGGGCTGAGCAAAGTGTATGGGATGAATGTGCAGCATAACCAGCCAATGCTGAAATGTGGTTCAATCATTAAAACAGTGTGGCTGAGTTTGCTGTGAGGGTCAGCTGTCTTTGTTGAATACTGCTGCAAGAGATGGTTCCTCATTCCCAAAAAGTAGCACAGGATGAGGGACAGGGACTAAAAGGAGGTATATACTTTTCCCCTTTCAAGTAATTTTTGCTAGTGCCCAGCAAAGTGCAAAGCAGCATTCACTAAATACTTGAATGAATAAACAAATTAAAAAGCAAACTAGGAATCACAGACCACATTAACTTACTCGTTTTTCAACTGGAACCTTGTTATAGTATCTGATTGAATCCTTCCCAAGGAAGTCAAACTCTACTACATATTCCTGACCATCCAATTCTGGGTGCAGGCTGATGTGCTCCACTCGAAGTGAACAGCAACCCACGGTGTCAGCTGTTTCTCCTTCTTCCTTCTCATTGCCTGCTCTCAGAGCAAGCTGCCCAGGGAAGAAAGACAATGAAGAAAAAGATGAACATGAATGAAAAGAGATAAGCCTAATAGGACCTCTAGGGAACTCAAAATAGAAGCCTCCCAATTCTCCTTGGGAACAGGGCATCAATCTGCATAGCTTGGAAACTCTAGATTCTGCATTGTCAGAACTTCTATGGAAGCCACAAGGACACTAAATTCAAAAATCTAAGCTTCTCTACTCCATCCTTGAAACTGGAGACACGAAAGGAAGGGAGGGGGAAAAAAAGGAAATAAGAACATTTTTATTCTGGGCAATCAGATTTGAAAAACTAGTGTCTTATTTTTTGTTCTAATTCAGAATTTATGCTAAAATATAAATAGCAAAATTGGAGAGAAATGAAAAATTTTTCTTGTAAATACTAAGGAAGTAATCTATAGCTCTGTAGATTAATCTATCAAACTGTAGTTGTGATAAATTAATGGACTGTTTAGCCAATTTATGGATTATAATCTTTGTAAACAAATGAAATAGAGAAGAAATAGTGGAATTCACTGTTCATAGTAAGGCTAAGCACTGGTTTGTGAAATTTTTGTGGAATTCCGTTACACATAAATACATTTATATGTATTGGGTTGTGATGTAAAATAACTATTTTTTATTGGGAGCCATGATCAAAAAGTTTGAAAACATCACTGTATTTCCAACATTCAGAACTATGCAGTTCTTCCTATTAGGCAGACTGTACTCAGCAGTGGACATACTGTGGATCTCTCTCTCTCTCCATGTCTTCTCCCCTACTGGGCTGGACCTGATACAAGTAAGACAGGGGTGTCAAGGCGTCACTGTTGCTCCTTCTCCTGCCCCTGCCACCCAGTACTTGGCTCAGGACCTAGGACGGAGCAACACTCCCTGCACCTGAACGCTGGCCACTGCTGACAGGAGGCTGCTCTCACCTTGTCAATGAAGTACAGGGCTACAGCTCTCTGCCGGACTTTCATTTCTTTGGACTTCCAGTCTTCCCGATACTGGTTTCGGATCTTATCTACACACTTCTTCAGTCGCCGAGCAGTCTCATATTTTTGCCAGTCTTTCTCACCCTGGAAAGACCCAACCCCAAAAGTGGATTGCTTAGGGGTAAGTGGAGCATGACAGCCTTTGAAGAGTCAAGTTCAGAACTCTGAACCAGAGCAGGAAGTTGAGCTTAAGCAAAATTGAAAAAGATAGAACTGAAGAGAAAGTCTGAGACATTAAACCTGACAAGAACACACACTGTCCCATTTTCACTGTGAAGCTCAACTCGCTCCTTTTAATTGCTAAGAAAGCTTTTGGCTTTCATAGTGTAAAATGCTCATGCTCTTGGGAAGAGCGCACATGGCATGTCCCAAAAATTGGCTTCTGTCAACACAAAGGATATAAACATCCCCATTTCCCTCATTATCAACACAGTCTTGCTGCTGAATCTGTGACCCAACAGCAGTTTTCTGCTAGCAATAAATTCCTTTAGATTTAAGATTGCCCTTCCCAGTCTGATGAAGTGGTCAAAGAAGCTGAACCAAAGACTGTAACATGTAATTACCAAGGAACACAACGACTTCTAGAAACAGCTGAAATTATTCACCATTTCTAACTTATGTATGGATTAGACTGAGAGAAACAATGTTTCTGGGAGGACTTTTTTTTAAATAAACATGAGAACTTTTGGTATAGCTTTAAATTTTGATTCTAAAGCCAATAAAGGGTTACTAAAATGTGTGAACAGACTGAAATTAAGTAATAGAGAAGATTTCTGCTACCACGTTGAATGGAAATAAACCCATAAACAACAATTAATGAGAAGGAAAGGAGGGGGAAAAGCCAAGAACTCTTGGAGAGGCAGGGAGTATTATAAGGTGCAAAACTGACTATATGACATGATGACAGGAAATGAATTTAAGAATCCAAGAATCCTGGGGATGTAGCTCAAGTTGTAGAGTACCTGCCTAGCAACCATGAAACCTCAGTTCAAACCCCAGTACTGCCAAACAAACAAATCTCTGCTCTTTGCTCTTAATTCCCTAACCTCAACAAAGAAAAAGAGTAATGATTTCTACCCACATATGTCTGGTTCCCACCTCTGATATGATACACAGTTCTTGAAACATTAAGAATATGGTGAAGATAATCAGCTTCTGTGTCTCTAGGAATCTGGGGTACATGGAACAAGAAAGGCCCACCATAACTGGATCTTAACAAATGCTCAAACATTAAAGTTTATATGGGCCAGCTAAGAAGTCAGCAATCTCTACCTGTATGAAATTGGCTACAAAACAAGAGGTTCGGTAACTGCTGCTGAGGTGGGTGATTTAGAAGTTTGCGATGCAGAAGAAATACCAGAAAATTTCAGCACTTCCTGGGTGCTTAGGACACTTCTAAATACATTTTGACAAATTTAAGAGGGTAAATAAGAAAAGGTGATGCAGGTTATACTCAAATATAAATTAATAGGGAATCTTTATGACAATTTCTTATTTATTTATTTATTTATTTTTTTTAAATTTTATTATTCATATATGCATACAAGGCTTGGGTCATGTCTCCCCCCTGCCCCCACCCCCTCCCTTACCACCCACTCTGCCCCCTCCCTCTCCCCGCTACCCCCTCAATACCCAGCAGAAACTATTTTGCCCTTATTTCTAATTTTGTTGAAGAGAGGGTATAAGCCATAATAGGAAGGAACAAGGGTTTTTGTTGGTTGAGATAAGGATAGCTATACAGGGAGTTGACTCACATTAATTTCCTGTGCGTGTGTGTTACCTTCTAGGTTAATTCTTTTTGATCTAACCTTTTCTCTACTTCCTGGTCCCCTTTTCCTATTGGCCTCAGTTGCTTTTAAGGTATCTGCTTTAGTTTCTCTGCATTAAGGGCAACAAATGCTAGCTAACTTTTTAGGTGTTTTTGACAATTTCTAACACTACACACACATATTAAAAAAAAACTGGACCTGAAAGTCATCAATAGTATAGTATTCAGCCAGAAGTGGCCTCTTTCCCATAGGTCTTGAGGCAAAGTCTAATCAAAAACAACTCAGTAGATCCTTTTGTGTGTGGTTCACAAGAGTGAGGATTGGGTTTCCTGCCATTGTGGGAAAAGTGCCTTCCTCAAACTTTGGTTACCACACTTGTACATTACCCATCTGAAATAGAGAAACTAACATATCTGAATGAAAAGAAAAATTTGACACCTACCTCCACCCCCAACTCAGTCACCTCTCCATAATGGATTGAAGCATGGTAACATGACATTCTTTGGGTGACATTTTAAAACTAGTGGGCAAACCGTATTTTCTCTAATATAGCTGTTATCCATTCAGTAATGTTAAACAGTGTCAAGACTACAAAAGCAGGACATGAGATGAGCTAGATCCTGTTTTTTGGTTTTGTTTTTCCCCTTTGGTGGTACTAGGGTTCAAACTCAGGACTTTGCTAGGTTGGCCATGCCTCCAGTCCTTTTTGTATCTGCTTATTCTGCCCAGGCTGGCCTGGACTGAGTTCTAATTTCCACACTTCCCACTGTAGCTGCAATGACAGGCACATACCATCATGCCCAGCTTATCTCCACTGAAATGGGGTCTCACCAACTTTTTTGCCTGGGCTGGCCTGGAACTGTGATCCTCCTGATCTCAGCCTTCCGAGTAGCCTGATATGACAGGTGCATGCCACTGTGCCTACTAATTGGTTGAGATGGAGGGGGGGTCTCACAAATTTTTTGCCTGAGCTGGCCTCAAACAGAGATTCTTCCAATCCCAGAATCTGAAATACTAGGATTGTACCAGCAACTGGCTAGATCCTATTTTCTAACCCTTTCTAAGTGATCTTTATTAGGGAAGGTGACAATGCCAATATTCTTAACTGGCTCTTTACTTCTCACTTGGGTAGTGACCTTGAGTTTAGCAACACGTAGAGCACCAAAGGATGAATGGTATTCTGACCCCCTGTACATATGTAATTTAAAAAGCACAAGAGATTGGCTCAATGTATTTATATTTGGGCTTTTATTATTGATTTGTATGGTTTTTCATATATTCTGACAATTCCTTTGTCAGAAGTCAGTAGTCTAGCTGTAAGTTTGAGGACAACCTGAGCTATGCAGTGAGACCCTGTCTTCCCATCAAAAACCCCCAAAAAGAAGGGGGAGAGGAGAAATCAGTAGTCTTAAGAATTTTCTTCTAATACTTGTCTTAAAAAACAAACACAAAAGCCAAATTATTCACCTTTCACTCTGCATAAACCTTTTCTGTTCTTCATATACCTATATGAAATAGAACAAAGAAACCTCTTGCAATTGCTTTAAGTGTGGTGGGGAGGTGATTGAGGGAGATGATAGGGGCAATGTAACTAAGGTACAATGTAAGTCTAACCAGAACTGACACTATAAATCCCCCTATATAACAAATATATCCTAACAAAAAAATGTGTATCTTAAAAAAAATAACTAACAGCTTAATAGGTTCTGAAAATTCGTAACTCATGTAACTTACACCTCCATTAAGAAAGCTCTCAAAACATGACTATCTTTCCAGAACACAGTCACTTTCCCAGCAAGCAACCATGGTCCTTTAGTATGATTTCTATCATCATAGATTAGATTTGTGCTGTTTAGAATATTACACAAATAGGCTCATATAGTATGGACTTTGTGTATGGCTTTTCAACAAGATTCATCCATGTTGTTGCACAGTATCAGTGGTTCATTCCTTTTAACTGCTGAATCCCATATGATATATTCTGAGACAATACCATACCCGTGTTTATTCTCTTAGGATGTTTCCAGTTTTGGATTCATGAATACTGAATTGCTATGAACATTTTCATATATGTCTTTTTGTGGACATATCTTTTCAATTCACTTGGATAAAAATAACTAGAACTGTTTTAAGTTTTCATTTCACTGTTCATTAGTGATTTTGAACACTATTATATGCTTACTGATTGGCCATTCCTATCCTATTTTTTAATATAAAATATCCAAGTTTTTTTTCTTTTCAATGAGGGTGTTTGTTTTTTCATTATGGAGTTACAGAATGCTTCATTTTACAAATATTTTCATGTTTCATACATGTTGCAAGTATTTTCTCTCAGTCTGTAACACATATTTACATTTTCTTACTGGTGTTGTCTGCTGAACATTATGCCTTTTATTTTAATGAAGACCATTTTTATCTATTGTTTCACTTCTTAGGGCTTTCTGAGTCATAAGAAATACTCTTTATGTGATGAAGAAGATATTCTACCATAGTATCACACAGCAGCCTTGATATTTTAATTCTCATACTTAGTTCTACAATTGTCTTCAAAATTCATTTAAGACTTTTTGAATTTTATACTAAGAAGCTAGATTCAGAATATAACAATTCTAAAAATCATGCATTAGTCACCCCTTATGGGTGGGGTATACATTCCAAGATACCCAGTGTATGCCTAAAACTGTATAGAGTACCAAACCCTACATATACTATGTTTTTGCTCTACAAACATACCTATTAATGAAGTCTTACTTATCAATTAGGTATAGTTAAGAGATTAATAACAGCTAATAATAAAAACAAATATAACAAAATTGCCATCATCACTATTCTTGCACTTTGGGGACATTATTAAAATAAGGATTACTTGAATAAGAGCACAAACACTGCAATATTCTGGTAACTACTCTGATTACTGAGATGATATGGTTAAGTGACTAAGGGAGGGTGGTGTATGCAGCATGGACAAGGTGGAAAAAAGGATGATTGAGGCACCAGGTGCTAAAGAGTGGGATAGAAGGAGATTTCATCACACTATTCAGAATGCTGTGTAATTTCAAACTTACAAACTGTTTATTTCAGAAACTTTCCACTTTTCAGATTTGTGGTTGACTATGGGCAACTGAAACTGTGGAAAGCAAAACCACAGTAAGAGGGGACTACAGTATGTCTTATTTTCTCTTTCTAATAAAACTCACCAAAATCTGAGCTTCCTAAGTTGCAAAGCTATTTTCCTTCACATCTTAGACTTTTAATCCCTAGAAGACATAATTTAAAAAGTTGCAGGCACATATATCTTTGATGTAGGTTATAGAG